GTATTAATGTATCGTTCTTCTCATGAACGTCCTCGGCCTTCAGAGGCCTCCGGGCACCCCTTGGATACCTCTGGATGCCCTTGGAGACCGACCTGCGCCTCAGAAGGCAGAGGGGGACTCGTCGTCGTCGTCATCGCCGTCGTCGTCTTGGTCGAGGTGGTCGTCGTCGTCCTGGCTTCGGCAGGAGGGCGCACACGACGCTGGGCCCGGGATAGGCCTAATCCATGGGGGGGGCAAGAAATTTCGTACCGATGCCGCTACCCATCGGTCGGAAGTAGGTAGACACATGAAGTAGGAATGCGTTGAAAATAGATTGGACTCCGTCCCCCCCGTAGGAGAGGACGGAGAAGGTGAAGCCACTCGATCATTGAAGCAGGAAGGCGCATAACGTAGACCGAACTCTGGGACTCCAAAAACACCTATCTTCAACGTGCCGACACCGCTACTCCACGGCCCTCTCCTGGGGCGCCGCTCTGGCCAGGATCTTTCGGGGCGAACCCCGCCGTGTGGCGACGAGTGAAGGGCAGTCGGTCGGTCCTGCCCCCGCTGGAGACGAGGAGGGCAGACGAGGAGGAGGGGGAGGGCAGGGCAGACGAGGAGGAGGGGGAGGGCCGCGAGCCCCCACATGCCTTTCCCTCGGCCCTCCGCCCTCTCTCTCTCTCTCTCTTTCTCTCTCTCTCTCTCTCAGGTGCCGCCTTCCCCGTCCGCCACGTCCCTCCTACATCCCCCCGTCCTGCCTACTCTCCCCCCTCACGCTCCTCATCCCTCTCTCATCACTCCTCCTCGTCCTCCACCTCTTTTTCCTCCTCGAACTAGTCCTGAGGCCCACCCACCCACCCACTCTCCTCTTGCCCCTCGCAACCTCCTCCTGTTGCTCCTCATCCTCCTCTCATCCTTCTCCCCCCATCTTCTCCTGGACGTCCTCCCCCTCCCCCACCTTCCTCCTCCTTCTCCTCCTCCTCATCATCCTCATCCTCATCCTCATCCTCATCCTCATCCTCATCCTCATCCTCATCCTCATCCTCATCCTCATCCTCATCCTCATCCTCCTCATCATCATCATCATCATCATCATCATCATCATCATCATCATCATCCCTCGTCGTCCTCCTCCCATCCCACTCCCTCCTCCTGCTCACCCTCCTCCCTCTCCTCCAACTCCTCCTCCCTCTACATCCTCATCCCCTTCCCGGCTCTTCCTTCTCCTCCGCACCCTCTCCTTCCCATCTTCATCCTTCTCCTCAACGTCTTCCCCTCCTGCTTCTCCATCTCCTCGTGATCCATCCTACCCGTAATTGCTCTTCACATCCTCCTCCTTCGCATGCTCGCTCTTTCTTTCGTTCGACAGCTTCCCGTCATCGCAGAACCAGCGCATGCTGCCCTGGGCAGACACAAGGGAATCTCCAACACAAGATGAAAAGGCGGACCCAGCGGTCTGCCAGCCTCCTCCTCCCGATCACCATGAATCATCATGACTCGCCTTTCTCTTTCGGGACCTCCGCTTCCACGTGCCGGCGGCGTCGGGTACAGACAGCGCGGCCCGGCCCGCCTTCAGCATCTTCTGGAACAGGGGGGCGGAACCGTCCTGCACGCATGTGAACCCTACAGGGAAGGCATGGGATAAAGAGCCCTTAGATAAGGAGACCAGGCTCTGGAAGCCAGTGGAACTCAAATTGAGGCTTGCTCAGGGATATCACCGCATCCCTCATCAGATAAGGAGACCTCCAGCAGGGTCTGAAGCTTCCTGCGCACATTCCTTCACGAACGCCCCCTCTCCGTATGATGGATAAGCTAACACATGCGAGCGCCACCCCTCCAAGTGCAATTCCTGAAAACCGCGCAGGGTCCAGAATTTGAAGGACGTCGTGTGAACCAGAGGCTGGATCCGATACCCCATCGTCGATTGGAGAATGTCGCACACGGGAGGAGTGGAGGGGTGCGCAATGCGTTACGCTGGACTACTGTCCTTTGGCTTGCCTCGACTCTGATTCGATTCGAATTGCACCGCGCTGTGCATCGCCTAACTCGCTCTTGTTTGCGCTGCTGTTGACTTGCGCTGCAGTCGAAATAGACTGGATGTAACAGAGCATCCCTGTGCAATGTATTCCTGCCTACGCACATCCATCGCATACGTTCCTACATGTCACGTCACACGCTGCAACGTGTCATCTGTCAATGCTCCACGTGCTCGCATATATCCCAGGCGACTCGCGTACATTTTCGCGCATGGGAGACAGACACACCAGAAGGCGGGGTGCCAAACACTGTACAAAGGAACAACTGTCCACTAGTCGAAGGGGCAAGAGTTGGTGCCATTCGCTCAAGCCCAATCGTCGTCGCCCCCGCCCCAGCCGAGTAATTTACCTTCCTGTTTTTTTTCCGCGGCTCGAGCCTGAAAGGACTCCGGCTGTGCGAATCGAGTCTGCTTGGTCTTCCCTTTCTTTGTTGCGGCTATTGCGAACCCGTCGTTATCTTCATCATCTTCGTCGGCTTCTCCTTCTTGTGCAACTTGCCCTCGGGCTGTCGCCATTTTCACCGTAAGGACACGGCCCTGGAACTCGAAGCCATGCATCGTATCGACTGCCTTTGCAGCAGCATCGGGGCTGTCAAAAGTAACGAAGCCAAAACCTTTCTTCTTGCCTGTGGCGCGGTCCTCCACCATCTTCACGCCGATCACCGCGCCACAACGGCGAAACGTATCTGCGAGGACGGCCTGAGTCACAGCAAATGGCAAGTTCCCAACGAACACCTTGACGGGGTTTCCGCCTGGCGGGGGTTCAACTCCGCCAACTCCGCCATCGCAGGACTCCGCCATGCCAAGAGCAGCATAAAGCAAGCTCTCGCCTCGAGCCAGGCAGCATGGCTCAAGACACACTTCTGGCACAGATGCCTCGCGCGTGCGTCGCGAATGCCGCGCATGAGCTGCACGACCTATACTCTGTGCTGGAATATGGGCGGGCTTTGAACGACAAGTGCTATCTAAAATGCTGTTCTGGAATTCTTGCGGGTCCAACTGCACCTTGCAACCAAACTACGGCCTCCAAAGAAGGGCCAGACATCGCAGTCAGCTCCTGCTCTTACGATGCGCACGCACTCCACGATGCGGCGGCTTCCGGAAACCATAAACCCTGAACCAGCTTAGCTTGGCGAAGGAGGAGGGGGAGCTCTCTATGAGGCCACCGGCAACATGGGCGATCGAAATGGACGTGGCCAGGCATACCAGCTGTGTCATTTGGGCCTTCTATAGAGCTCCCTATGGGGCCTGACAGGTTTTTCAGGGCCCAGCGAGATGAGGGAAGTCAGGGCGAGCGAAGTGATGAACGCAGCCCACGACTGCATGCGGATTTTCTCATTTTGGCCTTCTGCCTTTAGGGGGCTTGGAAAGCGTAGCAGGGGCGAGCGAAAGGAGGCCACGACTGCATGCGAGCTTTTCATGTTGTTGTTTTGTTCCATGGAGCTCCGATGGGGGTTGAAAAGCGAGGCATGGGCGAGCGAAATGAGCCCACGCCTGCATGCGGACGTTTTCATGTCTGCCTTCTGTGGAGCTCCTATGGGACTTGCGTGGCAGGGGCGAGCGAAATGAGCACACGACTACATGCGGATTTGCTCATGTTGGCCTTCTGTGGAGCGAGGGCCTCCCAGCAGGCCCAAAAGGGAAAAACAAGGGAATGGTAGCCGTGTAGTAATTAGAATCCCTTAATAATCGTCCCCGGGGTCCGATCTTTTAAAGCGCCTTTTTGGGAAGCGGAGGGATCCGGTTTATTAGAGGAAGTTGGGGGGGAGTCCGGCTTATAAAGGCGACTTTGCGCACTCGCTATTCTGCTCAAACATGTGCGGCTGTTCGCATGCGGCTGTTTTCTTGGCCGGCTTTGCGAATCATCATCGCCATCGTCGTCGTCCTTCTCGTAACTGACATCACAATATCCATCGTCATAATAATTACTTAATAGTAACGTAGCCATCACCATCATCAACACCATAAACGTCACCATCGCCGCCGTCGCCGTGAACATCATCACCGATATCTCCGTCATAAACTGTCATCTCCGTCATCACCGTCACAATCGTCGTCGTCATTGCCCCGCCGAACTTTGTCATCATCATAACTGTCTCCTGTCCTTCCGTAGTCACCTATCTTACTTTTAAATCATTAAGTACCGGCAATCGGAGTCGGTCCGCGATCGCCCCTCGCCACACTCATTCTTGACGGCGGCTTTCCTTGGAGAGGTTTGCGTCCCAGCCTCAACGCTCGCTTCGCAATCCGTTAACATCGCTTTTGCTTTCGCGGCCGACATCGTGATTCACACGTGCTATTTCGCAAAGGGAGGTCCGGAATATTCAGGCCCCTCGTTGACGGGGGGTTCGGTTAATTGAGTTGCATTTGAAGGGGGGTCCGGTTTTTTAGGGGGGGGTCGTTCATTAAGAGATTGCAGATATTCATCCAATGAAGTAGGGCTCGGATTTCGCCACGCTCGGCGAATTCCGAGCCCTACCCTCCCACCCTGGGAAAACCCAAAGCTTCCGATACTCTCTGGATCTCTCGAGGCGAATCCAGCCGTGGCGACGAGGGCCTCCCAGAAGGCCCAATAAAGGAAAAACGAGGGAAGGGTAGCGGTATCGGTACCTTTCCCTCCTGGGAGGTAGGGCTCAGATTTCGCCACACTCTCGACGAATTCCGAGCCCACCCTGGGGAAACCAAAAGAGTACCGATAACGCTACTCTCCGGATCTCTCCCGGGTGCGTTATGAAGGCGAATCCAACCATGGCGACGAAGGCCTTCCGGGAGGCCCCAACAGGGCAAAACAAGGGAAAGGTAGCGGTAACGGTACCTCTCCCTCCTCTGAGGTTGGGCTCGGATTTCACCACGCTCTCGACGAATTCTGAGCCCTGCTCCCCGCCGCCCATCGGGCTGCCCGAACCGTGAATCGGCGAAGGGTTAGGGCCCATGAATTTTGCTGCGCGAGCGCTTTCGCCCCCGCTCCGCTTTCCACGCGCCCCTCGGCGCAGGAGACCCCGGCGGCACACCCTGGGCTGGAGCGAAGCGCAGCGAAGCTAAGGCGCCGGAGTCGGGTACACCCCACACTAAGACGAGGATTAAATCAGGTGAGGATAAAATCGAGAATCTTTCAGATCCGGCGGCATTGGAGGATGCATCAGGCGTCGCGGCCTCCTCAGAGCGTTCCAGAACGCTCTGAGAGCGTTCTGGAGTCGCTGGAGTCGGGCACACAAGTGTGCCCGTGCCCGTTTGGGCAGGGAGCATGTGGCCGTGGCCTCACATCGTGTGCGAGAAGAAATCGTGGGTGACAACTGGGTCGGAAGAAAGAGATGACGGGGCCAGAGAGCCCAGAAGCGAATGGGTTAGTCAGATGGGCGGTCGCAAGGAATCGGATCGGCGGAGATCGGCAGCCAAGCCGGGACCCGGGAGAAGTCGAATCGGCGGAAATCGACAGGCTGGTAAAGTCTCTATTTGGAAACCGAGAGCCGCATGTGAATCCGAATTCAAATCGGATCGGAATCGGAAGCGATCGGAATCAAATCGGAATCGAGTCAGAGGAGTCGAAAGGAGCCCTCAAGGAGGCGGGGGGCGCTCGACGCACACCTCGATTGTCGCGCATGTGCTGTACGTCCGACCGACTGGGCACCGAGAGCAGGAAGAAGAGGGAGGAAATTCTACCCCCCGCTGCGCGCGCATCGCGCGATGAATCGGCGTCGGGTCATCGCGTGCCTGGCGTTCTCGAGCTGAACCGTTGGGCGTACTCAGGAAAACACCAGGCGAGCTGGAGACGCCTGACCGAGGTGTGGCGTACCTGGCGGCAGCAGCACTCACGAGGAAGGCGGGCAGGACGCTGGAATAGCTGAAGATGGCGAGCTGAAGCTGAAATGAACTGGGAAGTCAGTTGGGTGGCGACATCCGAGCCCTACCCCCCTCAAACCATCGTTTCTCCAGAATCGATGGGAGGCGTAGGTAGGATTTGGATTTCGCCGCGTGTTCGAGGAAATCCGAACCCGACCCCCGCCGCCCATCGAGTTGCCTGAATTGTTGATCGGCGAAGGTAGGGTTTACGATCCCGTCGCCGAGCGCGTGCGGGCAATGCGAAGCTGCGTGAATTCCTCGCCTCAATGGGCCCTCGGCACACCAAAAGGAATCGGTGTCTGGCCTTCGGGGAGTGCGCGGGGTTGTTCCGCGATTGTCCCGCGGTTGTCCCGTCGTTGCCCCGTCGTTATTTTGCTGTTGTTGTGCAATTGTGGTGTTGTTTTTGGCTGCCCCATGATTGTCAATGGTTTGTCCCATGGTTGTCCCGCGATTGTCCCATGGTCGCCCCGTGCTTATGCCGTGATTGACATGTGATTGACCGTGGTCGCCCCCTCTAAAGATAGATAGATAATGATACCAACCGGCAGATTGAACATACAAAGTCGGAAGCCGGACATATCCTCTTCTGGGGGGCGACGGGATGGAGCAAGCCTCTTACATGCTTGTATGTATGTATGTGTACAGATATACACAGACAAAGATGTCCTATGGTCGCGCCCGTGATTATGCCATGATTGTCCCGTGGCTATCCCGTGGTGGCCCCGACTCAAGATAGTGAGTTCGCGATGCCAACCGGCCGGTAACACATAGGAAATCCGCCGATCCGGCGTGTGAGCTTCAAGGAGTCTCAGCTACAGCCTCGAGGCTGAGCTTCAGCCTCTGGGGGGGTCGCCGGGGTGGCTCTGCCGGGGAAGGGGGGGTGGGGGGGGGGGGGGGGGGTGCGAGTTTCCGGCGAACCCCGGGGCCGCTCCGGGGGAGTGGAAGATAGGGGGGGGGGGGGCGCCATGCTCCGCTTTTTCCGGCGCTTTGGAGGAGGGGGGGGGCCCAAGAGACCCCCAAGGGGTTCCAAGAGGGCCCCGAGTCGCCGAAAAATCGCTCCAAGACGCCCGAGATGGCCTCCAGACGGCCCAAGGTGTCTCCAAGACGCCCCAAGAAGCTTCCAAGAGGCCTCCCAAGAGGGCCCCAAGAGGCCAGAATCGTTGATTTTCATTGGTTTTCTCAGGGTTTTTAGCGTTCTTGCCTTTTCGGGCGTCCGACGCTCGAAGACGGCCCAAGAGGCCCCCAAGTCCGTCCCAAGACGGCCCACGATGCTTCCAACACGGCCCAAGAGAGCCCCAAGACGGCCCAAGAGGGCCCCAAGACGGCCCAAGAGGGCCTCTGGACAGCCCAAGAAGGCCCCAAGAGAGCCCCAAGAGGGGCCCAAGAGGGGGACCACGAACCGAAAGAACCGAGCTTTCCGCCCCAAGAGGCCCCCAGGAGGCCCCAAGAGACCCCCAAGGGGCCCCAAGAAGCCCACAAGAGGCCCAAAAGAGGTTCCAAGAGGCCCCAAAACAGCTCCCCAGAGGCCTCCAGACTGCCTCCGGCAGGCCCCCGGTTTCTTCCGCGGCACCGCCCAGGGCGCCACCGGCAGGATGTCCTCCGTCTCATCGTTTTCCTTCAAGTTATCGCCTCTTCCTCATTCTCCTCCTCCTCCTCTGCGACCTCACTCCTATCCCTCAACGATCGCGTCACCGAGTGCCTCTTCTTTGAAACATCCTCGCTCTTCAAACGCACATCCATACACACATGCATACATACCTACATTTAAACACATTTGCATACATAGAAAAACAATCTTCCAGACATACATACTTACATTCACACACATACACACATATTATCATACACACATACAAACATACATACAAACTAAATACATACATACGCGCACAAGCATACATACATACATACGTACCTACACACAGGCACACATGATCAATGCATGCATACATGCATGCACGCGTACATACACACACATATATCGTGAAACTCACCGCGTGCTCGAAACTTGAGAGAGACCGCGGGAAGTCGAGAGAAGCCGCGGAACGAGGCCTCTACTACTACTACCACTACTACCACAACCACTACTACTACTACTACTACTACTACTACTACTACTACTACTACTACTACTGCTACTACTACTACTACTACTACTACTACTAATACTACTACTAGTACTACAGGAGCGTTTCCCAACTAGTATGTGTGTGTGGGTGATGCTGTGTGCGCATGTCTGCGGCGCAGGTTAAGTGGTGTGACTGTGTGTGTGCGTTTGAGTGTGCGCCCATAATTTCTGCGTCTGGAGAATAACCCCGAGCGACCCGGATCGGCGGCACTGGCCGAAGGCCACTACAATCAGACGCTGGACATATCCTCTTCAGGGGGCCGACAGAAGGGAAACAACTTCTTACGCGTTTATATCTGAAAATGTCCAATGGTCGCCCAGTGTTTATGCCGTGATTGTCATGTGGTTGTCCGTGGTCGCCCCGTCTAAACCTATAGAGATATTGATACCAATCGGCAGATACCACATACGAAATCGGAAGCTGGACATATCCTCTTCTGGGGGCCGACGGAAGGAAAAAACGTCTTACGTACGTATACATGAAGAGCTGTTTACAGTGAGATCGCTGGACGGTGAAACCGACACATGTATATATATATATATATATATAACCATGTTTGTGTACACTGGGAGCGGTAGATCGGTTGAGAATGACATCTGTATATGAATAGCAAACTCGGATTCCCATGGCTGGGCCGTTGTTGTCCAATGGTTGTCCATTGGTTGTCCTGTGATTGTCGCGCGAATGCGCGTGATTGTCCCGCGCTTGTCCCGTATCCCGCTCTGTGGTGTTTACACTTAGAGCGATAGGAGTCAGGAGAGCCCAGTACATAGAGACAGTGAGGTCGACATGTACAGAGAGATAATGAGGTCGATTTATGAATATATATATATATATATTATGTACGACCACACTTCGGGTAATAGGGAAGTTGTGGAGGGATGGGCCCAACGTCTCGACCGATCGACCTCACTATCGATCTCACTATCGATTACACTCGATCGATCCCACTATCGGGCTCACTATCGGTAGCACTGTCGATCTCACTATCGATCCCACGATCGATCTCTCAATCGACCTCATAGCTCTGGCATCATCGATATAATGATCGTTCCTACTATCGATCTTACCATCGACCACATAATCACCATCACGATCGATCTCACTCCCGATCTCACTGACGATCTCACTCATCTATCTCACTATACGTCTCACTACCGATCTCACTATCGGTCTCACTATCGATATCATGTTTGGTCTCACCGTCGATCTCACTATCGATCGGAGGTTGGGGGGTGAGATCGAAGTAGAACGGATGGCCCCCCACGAGAAAATCGGGTGCGGTTTCGGGTTCGTGTCGTGCGTGCGAAGCGAAGCTGTGTGGGCGGGCGAGAGGAATGAGCCCGCCGTGGCTAGGGCGGGGCAAAACAAAAGACCGCCCCTCCGCTGGGCCGGCGTAGCTGAGGGGGTCCCACCGCGGTGTCCCGCCATGATGCCATGGTGTCCCGCCGGTGTCCTGTCGGTGTCCCGTCAGTGTCCGCGGGCGGCGGAGGCCAGGGGTGTCCTGTCGGTGCTCCGTCGGTGTCCCATCGGTGTCCCGTGGGTGTCCTGTGGGTGTCCTGTGGGTGTCCTGTCGGTGTCCCATTGGTGTCCCGCCGTGGGTGTCCTTTCGGTGTCCCGTCGGTGTCCCGTTGGTGTCCTGTCGGTGTCACGTCGGTGTCCCGACTGGTGCCCCTTTGGTGTCCTGGTGGTTTTCCGATGGTTCCAAAGCGTGCTTCGTGAAGCTCGCACGGACCGCACCATGTCGGGCGAGCAGTTCTACTGGTTCTACGAGGCTTTGGGCGGGGCGCCCAAGGTGAAACGCGTGGCTTGGCAGGAGGATAAAAACTCCCAGGGCAACGAGGGCAAGTCGGGAAAACCCTCGGAGTTCGGGCTGACCGGCAACCAGCACATGAAGGCGATGGCGAACCGGACTTGCCGGGGCGGTCTCAACACCTCAATCCTGGGGCGCGGAGCGCCCCAAGGGCGGCGCCAAGGTGTTGAGACCGCCACGGACCACTCGGGACGCCAGTAAGGGCAGTTGGGACCACTCGGGGGACCTGCTGAAGCCAGCCAGGACTGCCTGGGGGGTTGCCTGTGCGCAACCCGAAGCCTGACAAGCCGTCGCTGCGTTCGTCCCACGACGGCGACGCTGACAGTGGACAAAGCACGACTACAGCGACGACGACACGCCGTTCGTCGCTCGTCGTTCGTCGTCGTCCGCCGCTCGTCGCCAGTTGTCGTTCCCCGCCATCGTCGTTCGTCGTCGTCGTCGTCGTCGTCGTCGTCGTCGTCGTCGTCGTCGTCGTCGTCGTCGTAGACGGCGGCGGAGGGCGGCCCGTGGCTTCCTCCGGGACCTCGAAGAGCCTGGCCAGCGCAGCCCGGGCCTCGTCGCTGTCGGGGCAGGGCACCTGCCCCTCCCACCCTTCGCTCGCTCGCCCGGCCGGCGGGAGGGGTGCAGGGCAGCGGGGCGCGGCCTCCAGCGAGGAGGGAAGGCCTCCTCCTCCTCCTCCTTCTTTCCCTCCTCCTCCTCCTCCACCTCCTCCTCCTCCTTCATTCCCTTTCCTTCTGGATAACTCCTCCCTGTCGCACCCCTAGGCCAGTCGGAAGGGCGGGCCGGGCGTTTCGCCTGAGACTTCCTTGCAACTCATGATCCTGAGGCTTTAGAGTTGTCAGCAATTTCACACATTGAGGAGAGGGAGCTTGAAGGGAGGGTTTTTTTCCAACATCGCTGGTGAGTCTTGGGCTTACACAAGTCCCTTTCCACCTCCTCCTCGTCCTCCTCCTCCTCCTCCTTCTCCTTCTCCTCCTCCACTCTTTTTCCTTATGACTAACTCCTCCCTGTCGCACCCCGAGGCCAGTCCGAAGGGCGGACCAGGCGTTCCGCCGGTGACTTCCTTACCACTTATGAGCCTGAAGCTTTCAAACTGGCACCAGTTTCGCAGATGGAGGGCGGGTGGTTCTCAAAATGTGGTTCCCGCCTGAGCGCCGCGCACACTCGCCCCAACAATCTGCAAGAGCTTAACGGATTGAAGGCGTTTCGTTGCAAAATGTGGCTCTCGCTTTAGCGCCCCGCACACTCGTCATACACATTTGCAGGAGATTCACGGATTAATGGCGGTTCCTTTTCAACATGTGGCTCTCGCCTTGGCGCCGCGCAAATTCGTTTCAAAACTTGCACGGGCTTACTGATTCCTATGACTAACGTACCAGAAATGGAGCTTCGGAGTGATTCAGGACGGTCAGGGCGCAATAGTTACGTTGATTTGCGGTGTTGAAGGCCCAACAATGGTGTATTGGCACGATTAAGGATCGCCCAGACGCAACTGTCAGGTTAAATCTTGCCGTTGAAGTATTGAGAATGTTGTGCTGGCGCGCATCAGGATCTTCAAACGGTTGTCCCCCAAGGGGGCACTTCGCTGTGGAAATGAGTTCTTGTAGGGGCCTATGAAGAGGGAGCTTGGAGGGAGGGTTTATTCCAACCTCGTTGATGAATCTTGGTTTTGCACTGGTCCTCCACCTCCCCCTCCTCCACAATTACACTATACGAATACTACTCTCCTCTCTCCCCTGACTCTGTCTGGCGCATGTCCCGTCCTGTCCGCGCTCCGATGTGTTTCTTTTCTCCGTTCGTTTCTGGTTGTTCCGAAATGGTGCTTCTGCTGCAGCGCCGCCCTCATGTCCGCGCTTCGGTCTTTCAAAATAACGTTCCCGCTGCAGCGCTGGTCTCGTTCCCGCGCCTCCGAACGGCACTTGGCACTCGAAAACGCCCACATCGGGCAAGCACGGTTGCGGGGAACATGGAGCTGGCAATCCGGACAGGCCATGTCCTCTCGTGGACGGGCAACTTACCCTCCAAGCCATCCGGTGCCATGCCACGGCATGCAATGCGATGCTGTGTTGCGCACCGCTGTGCGATGCCATGATTTGCGTTGCTACGCATTGTGATGCAATGCTTCACTACGCAATGCCACGCCATGCTATGACATGCTATGCTCTGCTGTGCTCTTCTTCGCCATGCTTTTCAATCCATCGCGTACCCTCTTTGGATCATTCCCTGCTCGACATCCGACTGAAGGAATCTATAGGAGATCAACGCCATGGTAACGAGGGAGGGGTAGGACGTGAGATGTGACGCTAGCGCACTTAGCTTGTCATTCTCCCCCTCCCCCTACTCCCCCTCCCCCTCCTCCCTCCCCCCCCGAACGTTGCCCCTCCTCCTCTTCCTCCTCCTCCTCCTTTTCCTTTTCCTCCTTTTCCTTTTCCTTTTCCTCCTCCTCCTCCTCCTGTAAGCGGGCCTCGCCGCGCGGGCGGGGGCCGCCGCGCGGGCGGCGACGGTCCAGGAGAGGCCAAACGCGTCGATCCTCGACCCTCGGCGCTGCTCCGTAGAGGAGAAGGAGGAGGAGGCTGCGTCGTGTGTGGGGATCCATATGGGGCGCGATCCGTGTGAGGGGTATGCCGCAATGGGCGGGGGGGGGCTCTCGGCGAGCGCCCTCCCTAGCGTCGCAAGTGGAGCTCCCTGAGGGGCGCGATCCGCATGATGGGGGTGCCGAAATTGGCGGGGGGACCGTCGGCGGGTGCCCTCAACGGTGGTGTAGGTGGAGCTCCCTGAGGGGCACGATCCGCATGATGGGGGTGCCGAAATTGGCGGGTGGGCGCCCTGCGGGCACGCCACTACTGCGCCTCTAGCGTCGCAGGTGGAACTCCCTAGAGGGCACGAAACGTGCAAGGGGTGTATCGAAATGGGCGAGGGCGGGAGTAGAGGGAGGATGAAGGGAGGGAGCGCGAGGAGACGCGCGGCGCTGCCGAGGGACAGCGAGGACACAACAGCACACGATGGTGGATTGGGAACAGAAAAAAGAGAGCCAGCGGCAGAGGAGCAGCGAAGCGTGCGCGCGGCGGCCCTGGTTCAAAACGGGGGCACAGAAGCACAAAAGGGCTGGGAAAAACGCGGGAAGGAGGAATATGCTGGAAACTAGGCAATGCCGAGACTGCTACTCCCCGGACTTGTCCCAGGGTGTGTTCTGCCCCAGAATTTCGACGCGAATCTAACGGTGGTGACGAAGGCCTCCCAAGAGGCCCCCACAGGCGAAAACGAGGCCATGGCAGCGGTACCGCTACACCTCCACTTCTGATCTCTCTGGACCATTGCGCTAACGGGAATATAAAAGGCAAGACTGACGTTGGAAGCGGCCGAGGGGTCTGGGACCCTAGAAAATTCACGAGGGGATGATGATGAAGCTAAATCCGCTCAAAATCAGCCCCCAGGACCCTTGCAAGGGTCCATCTGGTGCAGTGTTTCACCCCGGGCCCGTTGCTGACAATCCTGGGGCTCGAAAGTAGAGGCCCCCCCAATGCCCGAAAATGTTCCTGGGGCCCGAAGAAAATCTCCAGAGCGACGCGAAAAAGACCTCCCCGAACCTTGAACCTGACCCCCCATCCTGCTGGCCCAAACTAATGCTGGGCCACCTCAGCCCCCCAGCCAGCTCCAACCCGTGACCCCCCCAATGGTGACGACTCACGTGGCACGGCCCGAGTGGGGTGGGGGGGGCCCGGGCCCCTTCTGGGCAGGACCCCTGCCGACGACCCCTGACCAGGGCGGCCGCACCGACCCAATCGGGGACGCTCTGACCCCGGTCAATGCAAACCTGGGTCAGTCAGGCTTTGCATGATCCTGCAAGATCCTGCGGGATCCTGTAGGGCCAGGAAGTATCGTCGTGATCCCGCGCGCTATAGATGCTACGTGATAACAAAACAGCATCATAACATAGACCATACGATGTCAAACATCATCAAACCCAAGTCTCATAATACGACTCAGTTCTTACCATAAGACTTCCATCGCCCATCGTGCAACCACCGCTTATCTTAGAAGTGGGCCCCAGGGCCCGAAAGCGGCAACCAAAAACGGGCCGAACACAAAACTTCCGACCTCGCCCCCCCTTCCTGCTGGCCAGAACCAGCGCTGGGCCACCTCAGACCCGCAGCCGGCTCAACAAAAAAGTTGCAGGTGCCATGTAGGGCAGTCTCGGTCTCCGTGTCTGGGCCCCGCGGGCGACCCACGCCGGCGCCCCGCTCGGGCGGCCGCCGCTCGCCACGCCCGCCCCCCGGGCAGGCGCCCGCATGTGAACGCCGGGCAGGGCCAGGGGCACGAAGCTCTCGGGCAGCGTGTAGCCCACGGGCTGGCGGTGCGCCCAGCCCTTCCCCTCCCTCCCCCCATCCCTGACATCTCCGCGCTGCACAATGCATGCTTCTTCCTCTGCTGAAGGAATGCAAACAATGAGCCTCATGCGGTCGAAGACTGGTCCTCTCTGAGATCCTGGCGCTTCGGTTTGTCCACAGAGAGGGCGTTTTCGCCAGGGTTGCGGTCCCTGGGGCCCTCACAGATGCATGCGGGCCCCCGGTCATGATTTGTTCGCGATGTTGCATTGCTCCCCACATTCTAAGTGGGGCTCTTGTTTCTCTGGACACCCCGCGCAGGAACAGGAACAGGAACCCATCCACATCTTCTTCTTCATCATCATCATCATCATCATCATCATCATCATCATCATCGATATCAACATCAGCAGCAGCATCAGCATCAGCATGATCATGATCGTCATCATCATCAGCATCCTCATCGTCATCATCACAATCGTCGTACTCCTAGTCATCATTATTACCCCTTCTCTTCGTCACTCACACACTCACAAACCCACACACTCACACATTCACACTCAACTTCATCATCAGCACACCACCACCACCATCACCACAAGCACCATCATCATCACCACAGCCATCGCCGCCATCGTCGACACCACTCCCACAATCATTACCACACACACACGGACACAACCACACACACAGACACTCATACAGTCACACACTGACGCACGCATCTTGAGGAAGTCTAAGGCGGAAGCCTCGTCTGTGAGTGACTTGTGAGAAAGTCTCAGAAAAAGGGGGCCCCTTCTTGCCCTGAGGGGCCCGCACTTCACGTTGGCAATCCGAGCGGGTCATCCAAACCATGTAGCTGTCAGTCACGCTTGAGCACACAACTCTTGAATTTGGAATAAGCCCCAGGCGGGGGCCTCGTTTGTGAGTGAATTGCGAGGCACTCTGGGGCGGAAGTCCCCTCCTGATGTAGCCAGCACCACATGTTGGCAATCCGAACGGGTCATCCAAACACTGTGTCAATCGTTACTTTTGGGCCCCTCACGTTTGAAGCTTGGCGAAGCATCTGGCGGGGGCCTCGTTTGTAACTAAATTGCGAGGAAGAGGCGGGAACCCCCTCGCCGTGGAGCCCGCGCCTCATAATGGTAATCCGGCCGGGTCAACCAAATCCAGTAACTGTCGTCGTTTTGGGGCCCGTCGCGCCTGAATTTTGAAGAAGCCGCAGGCGGGAGCCTCGTTTGTGAACGTTTTTGCGATGGCGCTTCCAGCGGGAACCCCCGCCCCATGGATCCCGCGATTAAGGTTGGCAGTCCGAGCGGGTCATCCAAACCCTGTATCAATCGTCGCTGTTGGGCCCTTCGCGCCTGAATGTTGAAGACGCCTCTGGCGGGAACCTCGTTTGTGAGTGAATTGCGAGGACATCTCAGGCGGGAGCCCCGTCCTTATGGAGCCCGCGCTTCGCATTGGTAGTCCGAGCCGGTCATCCAAATCGTGTAACTGTCATCGCGTTTGGGCCCTTCCCACCTGAATGTTGAAGCACCCTCAAGCGGGAGCCTCATATGTGAATGAATTGCGAGGAAGTCTCAAGCGGGGGCACCCCATTTTGGGGCAATCGGTGCATATTGGTAATCCGAACGGGTCATGCGAAGCCGAAGCCTGTCGCCGAATTTGGGTTCCCAACCAGGCTTGAATCTTGAGGAAGTCTCAGACGGGAGCTTCGTCTGTGAGTCAATCTCGAGGATGTCTCGAACGGGAGCCCCGTCGCTATGGGGCCCGAGCGAGTCCTCGGGATCTCGTAGCTGTCGTCTTTGTTGGGTTCCCGAGGGTCGAAGGGCGATGCGAACCCTCGCGGGCCAATCCGAACGGGGTCACTTTTGTGCTCTTGAGTTGCCCACTCGCTCGGCTGAACCAAATCCGCCGGCGCGGCGATGGCGCCACCATCGACTCAGCCAGAGATGAGGACGCTGGTCGCGCGGGCACGTCGAAAGCGCAGCGGTGTCTGCACATCTGCGTCAGGTTCCCCCGCGCCACGCGCATGCGGAAGATGCTGATCCTGCGACCGCCCACGCGAAGAGTTCCTCGAGGGCGGGCCGCTGGCGTACCCGTGGAGGGCGGTCCTGGAGTTCGGCGAGATAGCGGGAAACTCCAGGAACGGAGGCGGAGAAGCTCGCAGCACGGCTGGGTTTCGCGCTGCCCCCCGCCTGAGCGGGCCCGCGCCCACCTCGAGGCCCGCGGGGTTGTCCCAGAGGCCTGGCCCGCGGGGTTGTCCCGACGGCCCGCCCCCGCGCCCCAGCGGCCCGGGGGATTGTCCCAAAGGCATGCGCGTGCTGGCCGAGGCGGCGGCGGCGGCACCGTGGAAAATCGATCTGATTGCCCCGACCAGGGGAAAGAGGAGGTGCACATGGAGAAGGGGCAGGAGGAGGATGAGGAGGGGGAAGGGGTAGGGGGAGGGTGATGATGAGTAGGAGATGAAGAAAGACAGAGGTAGAGAGGGAGGAGGAGGAGGAGGAATAGAAGGAGGAGGGGGAGAGGGCAGAGAAGAGGGCGAGAGGAGGGTGTCCGCCAGGGCGAGAAGGAAAGGGCTAAAGACAAGCTACACATTTTCTCGTGCGGGGTCCTACCGTCGGAGTAATTGTTGGCATCGTCAGACGTCAGGGGCACGAAACTCCCGGGCAGCGTGTAGGTAACGAGCTCGCGGCGTGCCCATCCTCAGGAAACAACTCCTGGGAGATTTTCGCAAGAACGATTGAAGACTGCTACGCCCGATGAAAGACCAATTAACTGGGCCAGGTCGGAGTGAACCCGGGATCAAGCCGGATTCAACAACATTACACAGGACTAAACCTGATTCCCTCGGACAATTCTAGATTAGGCTGGCTGTCGACCATCGATATACCAGCGCCGATGCTGCATTGCTTTGGAATCCCGCAGCGGTGCGGTGACAGACCGTGCGGTGACCTCAAAATCCCCCAAGATCTCACCGCACGGTCCGTCAACGCACGGTCTTGGGAACCTGGAGGCCCCAGTCGCCTGAGGCATCCTCGAAGAACGACCCGAGTCCCAAAACCGTGCGGTGACCCCGGATCCCCACCGACTCACCTCACGGTGTGGTCACCACCCCGTTTGGAGGCACCCGAATTGAACCCCCCAAGAATTGCATCCGAACCTCCCCCCATTGAGACCTTCAAAGACACAGAACGCAACCAAAAACTCGATGCTGGATCCTCCTCGTGCTCCTCCTCCTCCTCCTCCTCGTCCTCCTCTTCCTCCTCCTCACTTCATTATCCTCCTCCTCGTCGCCCCCCTCCCCTTCCCCCCGGGAGGCGAAGAGGCAAGACGCCACCGCGGCCTGGCAGCGTTCCCAAGCCTCCAACGCCGCCTGCCCACCCGATCCGCGCCGGGAGCCGCGTTGCGAGGGGGCGTGACCACCACAGGGGCGGCAGGAGGACAACGAGGATGAAAAAACGATAGTATTAAACATGTTGTGGCCCTTCTCGGACCGGAAGGGAAGCTTCCGAAGTCCTCGATAAGAGAGCCTGGGGACCTTTGGAGACCCAGAAGACTCGAGGGGGATAACGAATAAGAACAACGCGACTAACAAGTACGAACAAGACGACAAAAAACAATGAACACTTCGCCCAGCGCGAACCCCAAACGAAATTGTCTGCAATACTTGGGCAATCTAAGTGGTGTAAGCCAGGTGGTGCAACAAAAAAAAAACCTACGAGCTGACACATTCCATGCTCTTGCAAACATCCCACCAACCCACCCGCAACTGGGTTTGCAACACTCATGCGGCGGCGATTGCGGTGAGTGCTTGGCGTTGGTTGGTGTATCTCTGCGGCCGCGCCAACCCAACCACGCGCGCGCAACAGCCACCTAGCTTGACGCGACCGACGCGACCGCGGTGGCGCTGACCGCTGGGCACGTCCCAGCGGGCAGTTCAGTGCGAGTCGGCGACTTGGGCGGGCGCGGTATCATGGCAACGTCAACAACGGTAGATGTTGACAGCGACGACGGCGCGGCCAGTGACGGCGCCGATGCTGATCACGCCGACGACGATGACGGCGTCCCCTCATCGGTGATGGAGGTTGTGGAAGAGTTCGACATGCGCGCGCGGCCGACGCGCGAGAGTGGCTCGCATGGTATTATTTGACGCGGATCCTGCCCACCCAAGCACGGGCGCAAGGGCGCGCGAATGACTTCGGCATGCGGCGCGAGAAACCCGTTTTGCAAAACTCCATGAACATGGTGGAGAACCTACCGGTTTTCTTAAGAATTCGCAAGAGCGCGAGAGCAGGCTTTTTTCGAATACTGATGTTACGAAACAATGTGTTTATATGTTTCTTGGACATTCGGTTTTGGAGCTCGCTACGAAACCTAAGGTTTTTGACGGACTTCGGCAGGCGTTCGCGACGAAGGGCGCGCGCGCACTTCGTCTCACTTGTTGTAAAAGGATTCTCGCGACAGCACGCGCGCAAGGGCGTTCCTGAGATTTCGGCATGCGCGCGAAGCGCTTCTGGCAGCATGTTATGATGTGGTACATATATATATACATACATGCATACATATATGTATATGTACATATATATGTATATATGTGTATATATATATATATATATATATGTGCGTGCCCCCCCCCCCTCTATGGACCCCCATTTCCTATGTTCGAAGTCCGAAGGTTTACAGATATGAAGATTTGAAGGTTTGAAGGTTCGAAGATTCGAAGATTCGAAGAATTGAAGATTCGAAGATTCGAAGATTTGAAGATTCGAAGATTCGAAGATTTGAAAATTTGAAGATTCGAAGATCTGAAGATTTGGATATTTGGAGATTTGAAGATTTGAAGATTTGAAGATTTGAAGCAAATCTTCAAATCTTCGGATCTTCGAATCTTCAAATCTTCGAATCTTTGAATCTTTGAATCTTCGAATCTTCAAAGCCCCGAATCGCCGAAGGCCTGAATTGCGAATCTTCGAACCTATGAACCTGTAAATCTCAATGTTTAACCCGCTCCTCTGCGCCATTGTTAAGTTCAAAGTTCTGCAGAGATTTGTCGGCCCAGCAGCGTGTGATTTAGCATTTGAATCGCATCGTTTACAGGGCGCCGAGGTGTTCATTCGGATTGCCGGCCCCCAGGAAACTTAGCATTCTTAAATGGCAAACAGCGGTGCTACATTGACGCGCATGTAAGACTGGACCCTACAAATTTGATGCCGCGCGGAAAGATGTTGGCAGTTAAATTTTCCGCGGAACGCTTCAGGTTCAAAGTTGCTGATATTTCTAAGACCATGGACGCCGCAACAGAGAAAATCTTCGATGATGCTTTCAAGTACTATGGACTCGGAACCCAGTGGCGGTTGCAATCATTGGAGGAGCCTCGCGTGAGGGACAGTGCTGCGGGCGAGGAACACAGCGTATCTGATCCGATTTCCGTGGAGCAGTTCTTACAGGCCGCTGCGCGTGATGTCGCGAGCGCCAAGAACGCGCGCCTCCTGTTTGACTATAAAATCGCCCCAGCAGCGTTATTAGGTGATTTCGACCTCGTGGAGATAGTGAAGAGCCAGCAGCTTGATGGTTTGCCTCAGCCTGTTGCGCCGCGGTCTCCCCTACCAGCCTACGCGAAGGTTGGAATCATCATCGGCGAGCGCCCCGACGGTGCAAAACACATCTTAAGGATGTACGAGTTCAACGGTGGGATGCCGCACCGGACTGCCATGGCGCAGGCCTCGTTGTCGGGAAGCGGCCGCGTCCCTGCATTTCGCCCAGGCCCGCGGTCTGCCAAGAAGGCTGTTCAGAGCCTTTTGGATCGCATACCAGGGAAGGCTGTCTTCTGGGCAGCGATCGAGGATCAGAGCGCGAAGCGCGCCAAGACTGGGGGCGAGGCGAACAAGGGTTGGCAGCCCACGGCCGAGGAGATCACAGAAGGCTTGCGGCTCATTGAGGCGGAGTGCCCCGAAACCAGCGGGAATGATCAGCTCGGGTGGATTTTGAAGAATGCGTACTTGGAGAATGTCCCACTCAAGGGTTGGCCACAGACTGTCATAAAGCAGGCAGCTGATAACAAGTCGAAGTCCACGCACGCAGCTGATGTCGAGCGCTGGTTCCCCTGGCTCATCTCTGATTACGTGGATGTTCTGCAGAGCCCGATTCTGCCAGCTGTCATACCGCCGTTGACCAGCCACGGCTTGTTCTCGGTCGGTTATCCAGGCCTTGGCAAGACGCCATTGGCCAAAACGCTCTCCATGGCTCAGGGGCGGTTCAATATTCGCACTCACGACCGCGAAGCTAAGCAAGCTGGCCTCCGCGTCGGGAAGCACCTCGAGGTGTTCCGCAACCGAGCAGGCGAGGTCGAGATTGGCGACATCTGCGACGACCCTGATTTGATGTCTATGGAGATTGAGGAGGCCTTGGTTTTCCTGAATGCTGGCGAGACGGGGCCAGTCACCAGGACTCGATACAGCCCTGCTAAGTTCAAGAAGAACTCGTTCAGAGCGATCCTGAGTAACCTGTTCGATGAAGACATGGAGCCGCCCTCGAGCGACCGCACGAGCATCACCTCCGATGAGTTGCGCAACATGATCGGTCGCTCTTTCAGACCTGTGAAGCCGCAATTCCTGATGGCTGTCTTGAAGAGATCTCGGGCTTAGAAGGTCGATGTCTTCTCCGTTGTGGTCAGCTGCCGCCGAGGAGATAAACTTCTGCAACTCGGCCATGTCCTCGGCGGCGTCTGTGCACGGAGCGCGCGTCGGCCTGGGCGAATCGCATCCAGCGGCCGACGACCTGGCGGTCTCTCCAGCAGGTCGTTCGCTCGCCTCGGCCTTCACAATGCGCTCCCTCCCCGCTACTCGGTAGTCGTCTCGGCTACCACAGGCTGCGCCACCTGATTGGTCAAAGCGAAACCTCGCTCTCTTAGTCGCAGTAGCCTCTACCTTGGGGATGCGGTAACCCAGGTCGGCGTACTGGCCATCAGCGCCAGGCCGAATGACGACTTCTCCCGGCGGGGTAGGGGCCGTGGGGCTTGGCGTCATTCGGCTGAACGCCTGGCGCCCCTGCAAAAACGAAGACACGAAATCGTTGCAACGGCTCATGACCTCCGCCACGGGGGCTCCTGAAAAAACTCGAGAATAAGCTGTCGATGCGATCCGAGCGACCTGCTGGAGGTGCAGAAGGTGCTGTGGGAGACGGCGCGCGACGCCCACCAGTCCGAGATTGATCTGACGGCGTGCGATGAGGCTGATGTTGAGGAGCCCCATGGCATTGGCCTCATGCTGCTCGAGTTTGCCACGAGGATCGCCAAGGAGCGCCCGTGGCGCGACGTGTGCCTGATCCGCGCCTTGCGGAGTCTGGGCGTTCCACTGCAGAACTGCAGAGACGGTCCATTGTCCATCAGCCAGGTTCAGGAAATGATCGCCCATCTGAGCTATCGTTTAGAGCACGTGCCATTCCACCCGTATTTTGCAGTGCCTCCTGGCAGCTATGTGGTAACATACCGCCCTGTAGGCGCTGCCATGAGGCATGCAGTTTGGTCTCGCGGTGGCAGCCCCAACGGCGGGGTGGATCTTCGATGATGGCGTTGTCAGGAAGTGGTCTGGGAGTTTGCATGTTTGTAGATTAGTGGGCGATGTCCCAGCCGATGCGTGCGCGTACTGGCGCGTGGTGAGGGGACCCAGCCAGTGATATTGCACTGCGTGGTTTCAATCTGCGACGTTGCGTGGCTCGTGCAGGAGCCGCGCGCCGCGCGCAGCAGGTCGCGTCACCAATACAGGGTTTCGAGCGACTTTGAAGGGCATTTCAATTGCGCGTGCGTTTCTGTGTTCATCGTGACCGCAGAGAACGGAACTGCAGCGTTCAGATCGGCAGAGTTGAAGAAGATGAAGGGGCGGCCCCGCGCATCGAAGAACCTCATCGACCTTGCGAAGATGTCGGACGACGAAGTTCTGGGATCCCTGCGGGAGCTAGGGTTTGCAAAAGACCTAACAGGCTTGACTTGCAGCGCACGCAAGGTCGGCGCGCATGGGCCCGAACAGTGTCGAACAGGCGGGCGACGCCCAGTGCGCAAATGCACGAGAAAAGACTGCCGCCACATGGCGATGCCATGGAGCCAGTGCCCCTTACTCCACAATGGGCGGCGCTCTGCTACCCCACGGGAGCAGCTATGAACTTGCTCGGCCAATCGGCCACAAACTCGGTCGCTGCGACTGCCCAGCTCACTGGTCACTCTGAGAAACCGATTACTAGAACCTGGTACTTAATGCAGATGGCTCGGAAAGCTCACGCGCAAAAGATCGAGAGAAGCATGACTTTTGGATCTTCGAGGCCACCTCCACCGCCGGGGTGGCCTGACATCGAGGTGGACGAGGCGAGCTTCGGAAAGAT